ACAAATAAATTGCATCGGTGTATGAGTCGCATTTTATTATTAGGTTCAGAAATCCTTTAATGGTTTAAATTTAATGGTAGGTCTATTCAGAACAGAGAAAAAAATGTATGTATGAAATTGAAATAAATTATAGTGCCATTCATTACAAACACCATTTATTTAAAATGCTAAGCTTATAACAAACTTATTTTAAGTGAAACTGAATCTGCTCGCGTACTACCTCTCATTCGGCATGAATCGTTTCCATGAATGTATCATTTGTCGCAGTGTAACATTTGGTTGCTAAATTTATTATGTAAAGAAGGCTTTGTACTTCTTTCATCTCCCAATATCAAATCAAAATAGCATGCTTCATATACACAAAAAAAAAATGTGCATGCTTGCGCTGACCGACACAGCCTACAACAGACAAATTCAATTGAGTAACCGAATAACTTTTCTGTTTAGTTGTCTCATAAGAGGCTGCGATGTCATGTTAAGTTAGCAATGTGAGAAGAACTGATATGTTGGGTGTGCGCATGAGGCACCTACTTTTAAGTGTCTATGTTTTGCTTATTTGACGTTAAATGCATTATAGGAGTCACTTTGTAATATAAATCGTATTTCACAGACCTCCTGGCAATGGGACCTCGGGGGTCCGCAGACCCCACTTTGAAAACCCCTGCTATAACGGCTAAGTCACACCTTTCAATTTAAAGTCAATGGTGTGTGTTGGATTTACTCTATAATTTACAGGAGTTTATTTACTTGTGCATTCATATTAACTGGACCTGGCTGCAAAATAGTTTTTTAAAAATAGATTTCAGTAATTCTGGAATTCTATTCTGGAAAGCATGCACTGGTTTCACAAACGTGAGGGTTAAGGGGTCAGGATGGTGTAACAGTGGAGAAACCCAGTACTCTGACTCAACTGAAACAAACTGAACTCTCTGTACTATCCTCTCATAACTTCCCAAACACACACGCACACACTACTCTCTCTCTCTCTCACTCACTCACTCACACACACACAAATTGCTCATCTTCTAACAGGATGAGGTTGGATGTACTTGATGTAATACACTGATGTCAACAGAGTAGCTCAGTAGTCTGTATTGTAACTTCAGTAACAGTGGTAAGGATGACTTTGTGTTTCTTTGGTCCGCCTCTGTTCGTCTGTGCCAGCTTTTATACCCCTCCAGTAACTCCTTCACCCACCGTGCTCCTTTTAAGATCAGAATCACCCCCTTTCTTGGCCTCTATTTGGATATTAGCCTATGCTAACTAACGAACGTAGGCACCTGGTTTCACTCTGTCCTGTAGGGCCAGGTTTGTATGTGCTCTTTGTTTAGATAGGGCTGTGGAAAACGCCTGGCAGTCCCCGCTGCCTAGCAGCCGATATCTCTTGGGAGCATTCGTACAACCTCAGCACTGTTTGGAGCCAGTAAAAATCTGTTTTTCTTGACAGATTGTGTGTACAAATGCTTTTCACTCAGTCACACCTATAGTGAATCAGTGTGAGTTTAGGAGTGGATCTTTTAAGGTGTAGTTGCAAGATATACAAAGAGTCACATTAGTTAATGAACTGTTTAAAAACCGAGTCATAAATGCTGTCATGATGGTCAGGCATATTACAGTGTTGTTAGAGACATGTTAGGGCATGTGCTGTACCTGGCTTGGTGCTGGGGATGGGATTAATAAACCCCTACATTGTTAACCCAAAAAATGAAAATTCAGTTACTCATTCTCATGTTGTTCCAAACCCATAAGATTTTCATCCATTTTTGAGAAACTAAGATATTTTTAATGAAACCTGAGAGATTTCTGTCCCTCCATTGGAAGCCCATGCAACCAAAACCTAAATAATTCCATATGAATATAATCCAAATGATTTGCAGATTAAGCCATGCTCGTTTAGTGATCATTAAGTGATAGTGTCGTTTCAGAAAATGGATTAAACAACTTCCTGTCCTTCCTGTTTTATGTGCAATAGCCTAGGCTATACGTTGCACCATAATCCTACTGCCAACAAGCATGCCTTAACATGTCTTAGATTTATGATATGGACTTTAATTAAAGAGCCACATTCTTGTCATACCAGTGTACATTGTTCCTACCTTGTTCTCACAGTTTGTCACACTGATACTTCTCTAACATGTGTCCATTAGGCTTGGCTCTGCCTCCAAGTCATACTGTTAGCATTCCTTCAGGGGTTACTCATGTACCTGTTAAAGCATGATGCGAATTCCTCTGCCGTCTGACTGTTGACTGTAGCACGCCCTCTCTGTTCACCATTCATGATCAGGTCGGCATGGGTCATGTTTAAACTACACAAGGTTGACAAAGGTGTGCCTGAGGAAGTGCATGATAGAAATGATATGCGCTGCAGAAGTCACTGTGCGGTGAAACAGTAGTTTGCTTTTATGGTTAATTGTTCTAGCAGGATATTGAACTCTGTAGGATGTACAGTATTGTGTGGGAGTGTGTGTGTGTGTGTGTGTGTGTGTGTGTGTTTTTTATGTGGTGTTTGCTCAATTTGTGCATCACTATCCTATTGGAGGGGTTGTTTGACACTCGTTCCTCACTGTTTATGCTACTGATATGAATCATACAATCCAATTGTGTGATTTGTTGAGAAGTATTACTTTTCTAAGCACTCGGGCCATCATTTTTTTAAAGACTTGCATTGATGGAGGGAGCCAAGTTATATCTAGAGATCAAAAAATTGGTTATGGGAACTTTTGACTTGGGTCAGCAAGCAACCACACTGAACACCCTAGCTATTCATGGGCGAACCCCATCCATTATTTTTTAAACAAAATTGTAAAAATGTAGGTGTTGGCTATATTAATAATTATAATCAAATTTTTTTTTTTTTTTTTTTTTTTTTTGTCGTTGTATATCATAGATTTGAGCATAAGGTGTTTTTAAGGTTGTTTTTAGGTATCTGTGTTAACCGTAAGTGAAAGTGCAGTCTTGACTTGTGATGTCATGTGCTGCGTCACTGGTTGTGATAACCCCTCTGCTCTGGAACTGCATGTTTGTTATCAGCTTCTGCCACTCCCATCACCCCTCCCTCACACTTACGAAATCATTTCCTATGAAATTGATCTCGTTTCTAGGCACACTATGTGACTGACATCACTTTGACTACAATGTCATACATTTCATATCCAAAACGAGCCTATTTGACTCTATTACTTCCTTCTTATTAATCTCCCTTTCATCCTCTTTGTCAGTTAAAAAAATGTACCTGTCAATAAATTTGACAACTCCTCCCCAGATTATACACTTGAGGCTTTGTGAAATGCAGTCATTTACCATAGGTCTTTTGCATTTTTGTTGTGCATTGTCCTTCCGACAGACACCTATTTGACCTCCCCTAGCTGCTCCTTTTTTATATTTGAAATATCTCAGCTTTAGCAATCCTTCTCAATTCATATGAAACATGACAGATTGCTTTAGTAGCTAGCACGGATGAGTATTAATATGCAGAAAAATTGTCACTTACTCATCCGTGTAATGATGATACTCATGGTACTGTGGTCTAGTGGTAAACATGTTCTCAAAAGCTGATTTTTATATTTATATATATAAATCTTAATTCCTATAACTCTGTTAGCCTTTAAATATATAAATATACAAAAAGTTATATGTATGTATATATATCTTATGCTCAAAAAAGCCCAAATGAATAGCCTTTAAATCTATAAATATATTTGATATACAAAGTTTTTTTATATATATTTATTAATATATGCTCTAAAAAGGCTAAAATATATATGCTAAAAAAGACCAAATTAAATAAATTGTCACACAACTTCATCCTGCTACATGCTATGATAGTTTTGTTTCACTGTAAAGAGAAACCCAGTTCTGTTGTGACTGATAAATGTTGCCACAGTGCACGTGTTAAGTGTCGGATGGTTTTACCCAGTCCTCCACATTCTTCTTTCCCATATTTTCAAGCTTGTGTAGATAACTAGGGCAAAGGGAAAGAGTAGAGGATGACATCAGTCTTCTTGAGTGGGAAAACAGGGGTGTGTGTGTGTGTGTGTGTGTGTGTGTGTGTGTGTGTGTGTGTGTGTGTGTGTGTGTGTGTGTGTGTGTGTGTGTGTGTGTGTGTGTGTGTGTGTGTGTGTGTGTGTGTGTGTGTGTGTGTGTGTGTGTGTGTGTGTGTGTGTGTGTGTGTGTGTGTGTGTGTGTGTGTGTGTGTGTGTGTGTGTGTGTGTGTGTGTGTGTGTGTGTGTGTGTGTGTGTGTGTGTGATCGACTGCATGCACTGAATTATTTTTGGCTTGATCACTGCATTGCTGTAATACAGCTGACAAAAATGTCAGTGAAAGAAATCACATTGACCCTGTATCTATACTCTGAAGATCCAATTGAGAAAACTGCAGAGAAGAAAAAAAACATTTCTGTCTTCAGAAATTGTCGGGGTGGTATGAACTCATGCATGTTTATGAGTCATATTTGCTTTTTACTGCAGTGCTCTGGTTGAGTTATTTCAACCTCCATCTGCAGTTGGTGAGCTCTACTTTTGTGTGTGTTCCCTGAGGAAACGGGTTACGTTATAAAGCCTGAAATCCCCTTTCAGCTTTTCAAATAATATTGGGGTTGCTACAGAATCCTGCTGAGAAATGCGGTTAGTGAAGTCTTTGAAACAGGCATGGTAAATCTCGCCCCCTGGTGGTCATTGCACGAACACATTATTGCACACACAAACTTGTCACAGGAAGGGTGGGATTAATGATGGGAAGGGACACTTGAAGGAGTTCAGTGGTTGGCTGGAATGAGCTTGTCAGTAATAGTGTCTGAAGTATAATTATTGGGTGGTTGATCATGGCAATATTTTCCTCTGATTTATGAATATCTAGTGACAATTGACCCTTTTCACATTTCCGGATTTCTGCAGAAGCGAAAGTTGTCAATAATAACATAATATAGAATATGTGTGCATATTTTCATAGATTCACTGTTGTAGAAATAAATCTGATTATATTCTCTGTGTGTTTTGTGCAGGAGCGATTCGCGGAGATCTTTGGAAAAGATGCAGCAGCAGAGAGCAGAAAGTCACAAGAAAGCTTCAAGAAGTGGTTGCTGGCGGGAATGACCTTGCTAACAGGTGTCGTGCTCGGGTCACTCATTGCACAGAAACGCCTGTGAGGATCAGAATAACTGAAGATCCAAATACACCTACTGCTTCATTTAGACCTCCAGCTAAAATGAAGGAACTTCAAAAATACTTGTTTTGGATTTATTTGTTTCACTTTTATTGCCAAGAAATTTCATGTTTACATCCCCCGTCCCACCGTGTACTGTTGACTGAGTGGAGTGCATCTGTGATGTGACATCACATGACCCAGACTGCATGAGGGTGCATTGGTTTTAGTTGACTCAGAAAATGCAACGCCACGTATCCTTACACCCTGTTCAACGAAACTAGAAAAATGACTAAAACCGTCAAGAGAAAAAGTTTCAAATCTTGCTTCTTTGTCTGTAATTTTGTTTTCAGCTCTATCGTCAATCTTTTTAAGTATCCTTATTATTCTCTCATTTTCAAAGAGATTTGCAAAACTGACAAGGATACAAACATTTTATCTTTAAATCTAATTTAAGCTCACTTGTAATTCTTGAGTTAACCGAACGATAAAGAAGTTGAATCTGAACTGAATTTGAAACATTCAGTCAGTAAATCAGCACTGACATTTCTGAGGAACGTTATTCCTGTCTGGAGTGCCAGATATTAGCTCGAGAGCAGAGGCATCTCACTACACTTGAGCGCCTGCTTCCTCTGCAATCTCTACAATTATAGAAAAATGTGGAGAACAGATAAAATATGTCTGTGATTGTTTTTATGTTGTTGTTGTTTTCCCATTATTGTTCTGTTTCTTTTCACATGCGAATTTGATGAGCGTTAAATGTGTGACTACCTGCATAGGCAGGTTTGAAATCCTCTAAAGCATCTAAATTGTCTAAAGGACCAACAGTTATGAGACGGCCAACAGTTTGAGAGAAAGTTCTGTATGTTTGGTGCCGTTTGATTTATTAAACCTTATTAAACCTAAGTTTCAGCTTCAGATATGGTATCACGTATAACTCTTTATACCTTTAAGATTGTTGTAACTAGAGCTAGAAGAGACACGGATACATAAGGAGTGAGTAGGTCACTCCTGTTGTATCTGTGACTACACTTAACTGTGTTTTATACACAGAAAATGTAACACTTTAAGCTGAAATTAATTAGATTAAACCATATTGCCACAAGAGTGCTTGGTGTCTTGTATGGTCTTTGGAGTGAGGATGCAACCAGTTCTGGGAATACTGGCCTAGCATTTGTAACAAGCTAATAGTCATTGAGTTTTTGTTTTATTTGGAATCTGAGGTATGAAATTACATATGCAGTGGGGTTTTTTTCAGTAGGCAAAAGTTAGTTTGACACTTGCAGCACATTTAAATGTTCAGAGCCAAGCTAAAATGCTCATCTCAATTCTGGTCTTTTAACATTCACATTTCCAAGTGTAAATGTTATTTCCACAGATATTAGAGCATTCATAGATTTGTTGGGTTGGGTCTTACCGTGTAATGGTCCACAATGTTTTGAACCCTGGCTGACAGACATATATTCGGTCAGATAACATGGTGCTGCCATGAAAAAAAAAAAAATAGTATTTGACTAAACTTATTGTTTTTAACTGTTAAAGAGTAAAATTTAAGCTTTGTTTTTTTTTTATTGTAATTCATGTTTTCAAAAGCAAACCTAAGAATAGTTGGGATAAATCTCTCTAATCTTCTCCGTCTTCTCACAGCTCCTGATTCCTGTCGAATCTCATTTTAAACTCTGTCTCTTTCGAGTCTTTCCTGTCAGACTCGTTAAGCGCGAGTGTCAATCCGCGCGCGCACCTGCTGCTTTAAGCTTGGCTCGTGTCAAACTCTTTAAAGCGCTCGGAGATGTGGAGAAATGATCTTTAGGCTTCAAACCAGCAGTTATTCAAACAGGACGTCAAGTTGAATATTCCTCGCCCTTTTCGACTACTGATTGACGAGCGGGGTAATTCAAACAGAAGTGATGAGAGCAGTGGTGGTACAGGTGTGTTTCCAGCCTTCAACCCCGCTTGGAGATCACGTGGGAAAGCCGAGATCGTTTGGTGCGTCAATCAAAAGATACCAATCCTAAACGTTACGTCCTCTGAGAACTAACCTAGAAAAGATGTGTCTGCTGTAGGTCTCCAGCAGGTATGAGAAAAGATTTAATCTTCCCGATTTACTCCCAGAGGAACTAAATGAAAATTTCCACAGCTCGAGGGATTTGTTTCTAAAATCAACGTACATCAACATATTTTTTTGTCAACGATTAATCAGTGCTCATTAATCCAAAGAGGGAATAATGGTCATTTGCTCATTATTCAATCCTTCTCTTTTAATAAAGACAGCTTTTCTGAAATGGCCAATTGCCTTTTTGTTTACAATAACTCAATGACGATAATGTACAATAACATACAATAGGCTAAGGCGGCTACCTTTGAAAATTGTTACAATCTGAATTTGCTATTATGTTGACTTTGAAATAAAGTTTGAAATGTAAAGGTTTCATTTGGCAACAATAACGATGTAAACATTTATAGTAGTTGGCGAGTCTTAGCAGATTGAAATTGCCGACATTTACACCTTTTGCTGCTCTATAGACACTGATTTCACAGAATACATTCCGTGTTATGAAATTTGCTGCTTGCATGCTTAATCTATGTTTGTCTGTCATGTTACCGTGTGTGTGTGTGTGTGTCTGTGCGCGCGCGCGCTGTGTGGTTACGGAGTTTGACAGTATGCTTAAGAGTGAAATGTACCAGCATTGGCACGACACTATGTAAACTAGTTAACTTAAATAACAATTAGACTAGCTCATCATAGATTAGTGAAAATATTTAAGGCGTTTGTTGATTTGAAATTATTTATGATATTTCGTGTAAACGCATATTGTTCCTTCCTATGGCCTTAAACTCCATAATTTCTTTTGAAGTGTATTTGTTGCTCATTGTGTTTGTATTTAGCCAACTTAACCTTCAACATAAGGGGACAAAAATGAAAACTATTTTTTTAAGGTTTTGGGTTTATTTAAACAGCTTCACCCCTGAATTAATTGTTTTATGTCTTAAGACTTTTTTTTAAATGTCTGATATCATTTAAATTAAATAAAGACCCATTTGAATTCACAAGACCTCGTTTGTGGTTATTATGTGTCCGTTTATCTTGTTGAATGAATACAAAGACGTCATTCTTTCAGGTTTTATTTCTGTTAGTCAAGAATTAACACTTGTGACTATTCAGTGTTGTGAACTGTCTCACTGATACTTGTTCAGATTTTACATTGATGCCTATTGGATAATATTCATATGTTTGCATAAAGACTGGCAGAGACAAATGGCAGATAATTGGCAAGGTGTTGTGACACTCACAGCTGCATTCCCTTTCCCTACATTTATTTCCACTGGCCCTTCTCATAGTCCCATTTGGCTGAGAAGCCCTCCACGGGGTTCACCCTCATGTCCAGCATCCTCTTCACCTGCTTGGCCTGCCATTCATCATCAAGGGTATGAGGATGAGGAGGATACACTGAGAAAGCAAAAAATGTTAACCTAAACAGACCTATTCACTTATTTTAATCCTAATATTAAAATTAAACCATTAAATAAAAAAATAAAAATGATGATCTCTTACCATAGTACCTTTGCCACAGAACCACCAGGCCAGTGCAACCAATGAAGAAAAAGATGCCACCCACCACAGTCTTCCACTCACCCGTTGGTTTCTTCATCTCAGCGAATGACTCTTTAAACATCATCCTGTACACTGCCATTGAGGATCACAATAGATAAATAAAAAAATACAACATTTTAATTGTTCTCCGTGATTTTGTCTATACTGTGCTTTGCCCTCTCAGGAAAATATCTCTTAATAACCCAAGAAAATGGCCAGATCTTGGAAGTTGGATGTATCAAATGGCTTGCTTTTGTGACTTTAATTAGCCAATAGCCTTGGGTTTACATCATATACCACAAACCAGGGTGTGTCACCTATCAGGATTTGAGCTATCAACTACAAGAATTTAGATGGACTCACAAAACTATAGATGGAAAGTCACAAAATTTGTTCTCTATATGTTCGTTTACAAATAAGTACAGAGTAAAAGACACAGGACCAGAACGAGAATAAACAAGGAAGTAGTATACAAACAGGCAAGTTTCTCCTCTTTGGAGAGGTTATTCCAGGGGCCTTTCTCCTTCTGCTTCAGGCTCTTGTCTGCATCACTGAGGGTGTCTTGGTATGGTTTGTCTGGAAGAGGAGTGTCCAGACGGTCCCAGTACATGGGTACAGACATGTCCGCCTGTTCTGTCACATCACCTGAGAGAACAGAAAGAAATAATCAATTGACTATTGAGAGAAAAATGCAGGCATTTCAAACGGAAAGTAGAAATCTCTTGAAGAAAGTGGCATTTTATAAAAACATACTGATGCAGTGGCCACTCATTGATTACACAAGTTGTTTATTATTATCATAATCATCATCATTTTATTTTTATTTCCAAATTTGTATGATATTTTTGGCTTTAAAAGGACATTTGACATTACCATGCCCGTGGCTGGCCATCTTGACACTGCTGGAGCTGAATGCAGCCACTCCCCGTCTGGACAAAAGCCCCCCTACACGTCCCGCTGTCAAGTGCAGCATCTCAAAACCCCTCAGAAAGACCACAGCACCTGGCAGATTGAGGTTAAATATAATGCAAATGGTGGTTAACCTCTTAGACTGATCTATACATTATTAGCTGGAGCCTGCATCTTCGAATGTCATCCTCTTCACTACCTCCATATGCTTGCGTATTACATTTAATTCTTGTCACGTTTTACCTTTGTTTCACTTTCTTTTTCTTCAGGGACGTTTAGTTTGCTTGTCTTTGTTCTTATATATTCCCGTCATCATTAGTTGTCATGGCTACTAAGTATGTTACTAATTAGAGCACACCTGATTTGTACCTATCGTTCATTAGCCTGTGTATTTAAGCCCTTCTGTTCTGTCTGTTCATTGTCTGGTGTTGTTAAGACACACATTGTTATTGTGATCCTGCTGTTATTTTTTTTTAAAGTTGCTTGACTATTTGATGTATGACTACTCTCATCTTCGTGGACTAACTTGTGATAATTCTACTGTCTTCAGTAGTGTCGAAGCCCTAAGTAAAGGGTTCGGAAGTCTTGAGTTTAGGACCTTTTGCTATTTAATTCTGCATTTACTGTCGATAAATGTGTAAACTTCCTGATGCTTTAGTACCTCCTGCTCTGGATCAAATCCAAAACCCAGCTTGTACAGTCTGGTCACATAATCATCTTTTGCTGTTAATTACAGACAGTAAGTCTCCACCACCATCCAGACGTTCATAATACACAGTTGGGTGGGAAGTCTGGAGTTTGGTTGAACAGAGCCACATAAAAATCTTTATAATAATTATTGCATCTTACAATAAGGTTCACAGTCAATAGTTAGTTTACACATATTCACATTTTAATAGTTGACAAGAAATAACAAATCTGTTAATATTATTTATTGGAGCTGAGCTAATATGAACTAACAATGAACAGCTGTATTTTTATTAACTAACATTACCAAAGATTAATAAATAACAATATTACAGGACAATACATGTGTTAATGTTAGTTAATAGGACCTTATTGTAAGGTGTTACCATATATTTTTTATTATTTAATGTTTTTTTTCTTCCATTTTATTTAAAATGCAAATGGTCATGCTATTATACAACATTCTTTATTCATCTGTGCAACGATGAAACTTTTTTTAATGCTTTATTATCAAAGCTGAAACTTTCTGCACCCTCCATGTGCAGCGGGAGAGACACAAATATGCTGTCACTAAAATGGACGAAACTGGCAAAAGCTCAAGCCAAGAGTTAGCAATGACCCCTATACACTGAACTCTCAAACAAATTAACAAATGATTTATAAAAGTCAGGTATCTGCAGTATTTTGCTCTAAAATATATGCAATGTAATGAAAAATATATTTTCATGTCTATATCTCTATACATTTTTTTATATACTTTATTGTACAATGAGTTTCTATTGTAAAAATACCGACAGTATGGCCATGTACAACAGTGAGTAAAAGCAAAGATGTCGTTATGTAAATGCATTAAACTCATCTGTTTGCATATCTGTTGAAAGCTGGCCTATTCATACATTTTTATCAAAGCATAAAGATT